GCACAAGCCGGGTTGAGGGACCCCCCACTTCCCCACGAGTGCACAAATTTTTGTGCACCGGGCCTCTAGTTGATACATAATTATCAACCAAATTTTTTAGTTTACATTAGAACTCAGACTTTGTATTGTGCATTCAATGGGTTTGAACAAATGTACAATGACATATACCCACCATTATAGTACACAGAATATATATAATGACATATACCACCATTGTAGTAGGCAGAAGTTTCATTTCCCTAAATTTCCTCTTTCACTTATTCCTCCTTCCTTAGCCTAAAACCCTAATAACCATTGATCTTTTCATTGTCTCCATAGTTTTATCTTTACCAAATGTCAGATAATTGGAATCATACTTCATGCAGCCTTTTTAAGTTGGCTTCTTTCATTTAGTAATATGCATTTAAGATTCTCCATGTCTCTTCATGGCTTAATCTCATTTTTTTAGCTGAATATTCCATTGTATGAATATACCATAATTTATCTATTCACCTACTTAAGGATACCTTGGTTGCTCCAAGTTTTGACAATCCTATCTAATAAAAGAGAAACATGGAATTGGTGTACGACCGCTACCCTTCCCATTGGCTAATCAGGGTGATATGCAAATTAACTGCCAGCCAAGATGGCGGCCAGCAGCCAGGCAGCTTGAAACTAACATGAGGCTTGCTTGCTTCAGTGACGGAGGACTGCACCGTTCCCTGCCTGCCTTACCGGCCTCTGAGCCTGCAGTTTGAAACATTGTAACAAATATAGAAGCTAAACAAAACCCCAGAAACCAGCTCAGAGCTGGAGTTGATACAGAGTTTCGATGATAGAACCTAAACAAACCAGATACCTCCTTTCAGCAGCTGAGGCCTCAGAGCAGGAGTCAGAGCTAAAGCTGGCCCAGAATTAAAAAAAAGAAAAGAAAAAAAGGAGCAGTTGGGAGCTTCAGTACCAGCCTGAAAACAGCCCTCAGCCCCTCACCCAGACTGGCCAGGCACCCCAGTGGGGACCCCCACCCTGAACCAGGACCCCCTTCAGGGCAAACAAGCCAGCCCCCAGCCGTGTACCAGGCCTCTATTCTATATGGTAAAAGGGTAATTTGCCTCCCAGCACTGGGATAAGTGGAGCTGAGAGGCCTCCCGGCACCGGGATCAGTGTGACAGGGGGCAGTGCCCAAACCCCCTGACCGCCCTGCGGCTCTGTGTGTGACAGGGTGTGGCACCCCCACCCCCCGATCCGCCCTGCTCTGTGTGTGACAGGGGGCAGTGCCCCACTCCCCTATCGGCCCTACTCTGTGAGTGACAGGGGGGAGCTCCCCAACCCCCTGATCGCCCCTGCTCTGTGTGTGATGGTACAGAGCCCCAACCCCCCTGATGGGCCCTGCTCTGTGAGTGACAGGGGGCAGCTCCCCACCCCTCTGATTGGCCCTGCTCTGTGTGTGACGGGGGTGGCGCCAGAACCTCCCCATCAACTCAAGGCAGGGTCACACTCAAGGGGTGGTGCCCCAACCCCCCAATCAGCCCTACCCTGAGCATGACTGAGGGTGGCATCACAACCTCCCGATCCGCCCTGCTTTGTGCATGACAGGGGCGGCAACCTAACTCTCCAATCGGCCCTGCTCTGAGCCCGACCAGGGGCTGCACCTAGGGATTGGGCCTGCCCTCTGCCACCCGGGAGCAGGCCTAAGCCAGCAGGTCATTATCTCCCGAGGGGTCCCAGACTGCGAGAGGGCACAGGCGGGCTGAGGGACCCCCGCTTCCTCCCGAGTGCACAAATTTTTGTGAACCGGGCCTCTAGTTATAAATAAAGCTGCTAACAACATTCATGTATTTTCAACTCCTTTGGGTAAACACCAAGGAGCAATTTTTTAATCGTAGTCAAGTATACCTAAACATAAAATTTAACATTGTACATTTACATTTAAAGTATCCAATTCAGTGGCATTATGTACATCCACAATGTTGTGCGAACGATCACCACTATCTAGTTCCAGAATGTTTTCATCGCTCCAAATGGGAACCTTGCTAGTCACTCATGTATTAATTTTAAAATTTAATTAAAACTAGGCTTAAATTGTTTCTCAGTCACATTAGCCACATTTCAGGTGCTGAGTACCCATACGTGGCTAGTGGCTATCGAATAGTACAGGTCTAGAGAAAGAGCTTTAGAGGCAGAGGAAACAACAAATACAAAGCTCTTTTTTAAAAAATAATATATTTTATTGACTTCAGAGAGGAAGGGAGAAGGAGAGATAGAAACATCCATGATGATCTCTTGCCTCCTGCATGCCCCCTACTGGGGATCAAGCCAGCAACCCAAGCACATGCCGGGGAATCAAGCTGTGACCTCCTGGTTCATAGGTTGATGCTCAACCACTGAGCCACAGCAGCAAGGCCAAATACCAAGCTCTTGAAGCAGGAATACATTTTTTTCAAAGAACAGTTCATTGGTCAGTATGACTGGAGTACAAGGAGCAAGATGTAGGAAATGTAGTCAGTGCTGTAGCCAAAAGTAGGCTAATAAAGGGCCTTGCATAGTAAAAGACTAGATTTTAAGGGTGATGTCAAATTTACAAAGAGGTTTAAAATAGTCCCTGGTTAGGTAGCTCAGTTGGTTAGAGTGTCGTCCTCATAGACCAAGGTTGCAGGTTCTATCTCTTGTCAGGGCACATACAAGAAACAACCTATGAATGAACAAATAAGTGGAACAACAAATCAACGTTTATATCTCTGTCTATATATAATAAATAAAATTTTAAAAGGGTTTAAAATAATTACTCTGGCTTCTGTGTTGGAAAGATTAAAGGAGGTTCAAGAATGAACTAGGAAGATAGCTAGAGTGATGAAAAGTGTTTGGATTCAGGATATATTTTGAAGGTTTCGTTTATTATACGTATCATGAATTTGACACTAGGTTTTAGAAAAACTGTATTCTGTAAGGTGGAGAACACACAGAGAGAAAGGTTTGAGAAAAAAAAATGAATTTAGTTTTGACCATGTTAAGTTTTAGATGGTCATTGACATCAAGTGGTCACAATATTGGAGCAAAGTGACAGCTCTGATATTCAATAGTTATATTACATCCTTAGTGATTGATAAATAAGACAGTGATAAAAATATAGCTCAGAGATAGAATATAGGAATGCCCTATATATTGGTGAAAAAATGTAAATATATTTTATATACTCTGAAATGTGGGGCCATCTGAAAGACTTTGTTGCAGATACAAGATACTTCTATGACTTACTTAGTGAACTATCTATTTCATTAATGTTTTCATAACACAATAGCTTTGAATAGCTTAAAAAGCATGCATGCCACTGTTCTGCATTGTTTTTCTCCCTTGTGGCTATTGCTTTGCATCTAAATATACTTAAGACTTCATTTTTAAGTTCATATTTTTGAAACTTTACCTTATTCTAAAATCTTGGACAGAGTTGTTACTGAAGCTTAATGACATGAACTACCATTTAAGGCACCAAGAAAAACACCTTGCTAAGTATTTTCCACAAATAATCTTTGGATAAGCATCTTTTTTCTCTGCCCTCCTTTAACAATTTTTTTTATGTTAAAGAGAGAGAAACATCAATTTTTATTGTTCCCCTTACTTATGCATTCATTGGTTGATTCTTGTATGTGCCTGACCAGGACTCAACTCGCAACTTTGGTGTATCTGGAGGATGTGCTAACCTGAGCTACCCAGCCATGGTCTCCCCTCTCCTTAAAACAAACAAACAAAAAACATCCGTCAGTGTCTAATTCAAGAGTGGGAGACCAATCATACTTAATACAGGCTTGTTGGGAGAATCAAAGTGCATATAAATGCATACAAAAGTGCTTTGTAAGTGGCATATTTTACTTAAGTCTTAAGAGATTGAAAGCTTGAAATAACTACTACTTGGAATGTATTTTTAGAAATATATTTTTACCCGATTTAAAGTTTATTTTAGTCATCAATTAGGGCAGTTGTTTAGTTTATATTATATTCCTTTTGATGATACACACTGCCTAGACGGTATAGTAATTAGTAATTGTTGCTTTCCAATTAGTTTTTCAGAAATCTTATTATTTTGTGGACGACTACCAGTTCTGTACGCTGTATACCACAGGCTCTCAATAAATGTGCATTCAGAGCATTCTTGTACTAGAAAGATTTAGGATGCAAATAACTCAGAGCTCTGACAGGATCTGTACTGTGGAAGGCTTTCAGAAGACAGCCCACCTTCCTCACACTGAGAGAGAAACAACCAGATTCACGAGGGTGCTCTGTTTACCTCTCAGCCTCGTCTATTCCCCGTGCACAGAACTGCTTCCCCACCTGCTCAAAGCAATCTCGTATGTGGCCCATCCCATCTGTTTGCTTTACCTAGACACACTTCCCCTGTAGCATCAATTCTTCATGTCACACTTAGATGTCATCTCAAGATAGCCTTCCCAACCCCCTCACGGCACCCCTCGTGTGTTCTACAACCCCTGTCATTCTATCACACTGTATTTAGATCGTCTGTCTTCTTCGATAGTCTGAATTCTGGGAAGGCAATGTCCATTCACTGTTTCATCCCCGCACCTAGTATGGTCCTAGCATTGCGCTTTCTCAATAAATATTTCCTGATTGAATTATGAGAGGCTGGAGTTTTAGGAAACAGTACACTTCCAATATATATATATTCATATTCCACTTGGACTAGACACTGGGGATGCATTTTTGACCTGTGACGCTGACGGTCCCTTGACCCAGGTCGGCAGGTAGAAACCCATTGGTCTGAATAATCGCAGAATCACCGCCGGCATCGCGTGCTGTCGAAGGGCGTGGGTTTGTAATTACAGATCTATGAGCAACTGCTTATAGAAGACCTTTGGGGGCCACTGGGACTCCAGAAAAGAAGAGTCCTCACCGCCGGCTTCCCCAGCCCGAGCCGCCGGAGCGCGCGCCGCGCCCTAAGCCCCGCCCCCGGGCGAGGGCGCGCTCCCCCTCCCAGCTCTGCCCCAGCAGTTCCGTTAGTAGCGGGAGGAAAAACCGTCCTTCGCTCCCCGCCTCTCCACTCCCAACGCTTTACTCTCGATTCCCCCTGCGACCACTACACAGCCAGCTACGGCGGCCCCTGAAGTACAAATATCCCGCAGGCCCTCGGCGTATCCTGATAGGCTTTGGTTCTTCTTATTTCATCTGGTCCTAAGGTCCTGCGTTCAATTTTTGTCAGGAATTCGAGCCCGCGAGTTTCTCCCGGCGGCAGGAACTCCGGCGCTCTTCACGGAAATAAAAGTTGTTTTTTTCTCTTTTTTTGACGCTGTGGCCGCCTCCCTTCCTGCCCTCCCACCTCGCGGAATTGTGGCGGGAGGGGGAGGAGGAAGTCAGAGCGCCTGCGCGGAGAGGCCGCTTTCCATCCGGGTCCCTGTCCGTGCGGTGCAGCAGGTCGGTAGGCGGGAAATGGCGACTGGCTGAAGGAGCTGGTTCTGTTGCTGCTGCGGGCTAAGCGGGGAAGACACCACACGTTGCGCAGTCGGGACCATCGCTGGAGCCTGAAGACACTTCTCTGTCGTCACAGTTAGGTAATCCCCCTCGTTCAGACAGTGCCGCTGCTTCCAACCTGAGTCCCCCTCCTCTTCCAGGGCCGTCTGCCGGGATCTCCTCCCCTTCCTTCTCCAGCGGCTTCTCCCGCGGCTCCCGCGCCTCGGTAGGCACGCACTCGGGGCGCCTCTCGCGGCCGCGGTGCGGAGCCTCTCTCCTCTGGACTTTGCCCTGGGAACCGAGAGGGAGCTCGCTTCCCGCCAGCTGCGGCTCCCGGGCTGCGCGGCCTGTGTTGTGATTTCTGGGGTTAGATTTCACTTGGCTACCCCCACCCCCACCCCGACCTACGTTCCTGGTTCCCAGTCCTGTGGCCCCTCCGGATAATTGGGCTCCATCAGCTTTTCTCAGCCTCGGCCCGCCTGATGTTTTCGAGATTTCATTCTTTCCAGGAGGGTGCTTTTAGGGGGGCGTTGCTCTAGCTCGGTTTTTATCAACACCTCGGGAGGATCTGGAAGAAGAGCGCTCGCTAAGTTCTGTTTATCCTCTGTGCTGCTAAAATGTTGAGTTGACACGGTTACTTTTTCCACATCAAGAGTGCTGGTGAAGAGCAGCCCGTGTGGAAGGCCGCTGGCGTCCTCAGTGGTCAGCGAGGGGTGAATCCTCGCGTCCGTAGTATCTGCGCGTTTCTTTGGGCGTTAAATGCCACTGTGGATGTTTACTTCTGCATTCACGACTGGAGTTCCGTGTGTAAATCATCGTGCGAGTCGGTCACATTTACTTCTTACGCTGGTGGCGGCTGGATGTGTGGATGAGGTTAAACACTTGGAATTAGAATACCTTAGGGAAATCTAAAGAGATCCCGCTTGCAGATTGCTCCAAGATCCCGAAAGGAAATGTACTGAGAGTAGATGTTCCTCCAAGGCAGGGATTTATCTTCCTAATGCTCATAAAACGGTACCAAGATGACTGCCCAATCTGGGTATGCAGATTAATGACTTAAATGATAGATGTATCTTCGTAATTTTCAGATCGTAGATAATCTTTCTATACTTACTGTCTTTCCATTCTTTTGCAACGCAAATGTTCGTTTGTTGTCCAGCTATTAAAGCAAGGGAATGGCTAGTTCAAGCACGTTTTATTCCTCCTTTATTTTTCACATTGAAGGCTAGTTCTTCATAAAGAGGCTGTTGGTATTTTTCAGAATTTGTTTTTCTGTCTTGTTAAATTTGGGATCTTTCTAGTTAATTTTTTTTGAACTAGTCAAGTTAAGTTTTAAAATGTGGTTCTTATCATTTGATGTTTATAACTCAGAGGCTTTCAGCTCCCTAGGTCCAGTTTAGATTTCACTATTGTTAATATATTAGAACTAAATTTCAATAATAAACGGGAACGCACAAACATCATTAAATTCCTCATTTGGTAGATTCCTCATCCAAGGTCATAAAGAAAGTCAAGGCAAAATGTAGCTCTTACTTGAAGCATCCTTTTAGGATTGAGTTGCACTTCATACTTACCTTCTAGGACCAAAAGAGTGGGAAGTGGGAAGTGGAGGTGAAGGCATGTTGTATACTTACTTGCTGAGCCAATTGTTTTAAAAAAAAAGATAGGGCCAAATGTGTATGGAAAATAAATTATTGGTCTAGTGTAGGCTTTACCTGTACTTTAATGACTTTTTTGGGTAGTTTATAAAGCATTAATGTTTTTAATAAGATTTTTTTTACAGCTAGCTGAGTGAACATTGTATGTAGATTTTGTCTTCAAGAATTCTCCAAAATTGTTTTAATTCTACATTCATTTAGTACATGCACTCTTCTAATACTCTGAAAGGATGTAAAAGCTCTAAATTGTATAGTCCTTAACTTTGTGGACTTGTAGCTATTTAAAAGTTCTAAATAGGATTGCAGGAAAAAAACAAATGGGATTGGTATGGCTTTACAATATTTCAGTCTACATAGAGCTAGTAATGTTATTCTTTTTCCACTGTCCAGAAATTAAGAATTGGGGAAATTGTATTCCATATTTAAAATTTCTGGTCAATAGGTTTCTTCACAACATTATTATATAGCAGAATCCTTTCAATTGTAGTTTTAAAAAACTTGGACCTGTTGTTAAGAAAGATTCTAGACTTGTAACTGTAGAATTAATTGCAGATTGAATAAAATAATATAAATTATCTCAGTTTTAGGTAGTGCTTTGGATTAATGTGATAAAGAATAAAGTAGTCTGTCAGAATTCAAAATAAATACTGCTGTCTAATTATATTTGTAATTTACCAAATTGTTATGAAAGCATAAAGTAGTAAAGACACTTTAAAAACTAAATAGCAAATGTGCAGAGAGGATCTCATATATGGTGTGCTCTAAGTAATTTAGAGTAGGTTAAAAGGTTACCTGACCATTTTCACTGGATTGGCTAGAAGGGATCATTTGCTCTACTTTGAGGATGAGAAGATTCAACATATAGGGGATTTATTATAAAACCATGCAATTGTAGTTTTAGTCTCCACTTACTTGACATTTGCATGAGACATATATCTAGCCAGGCATATGTTCATTACTAATTATATGACTACATTAGTTTTTAATTTAAACTAGATTATCTTGTAATTGGATGTACATTAATAAGTAGAGTAGGTGGTTGTGAAGTATAATTTGAGAATTGCCAATAGCAAACTTTATTTGTGTCTCTCCTATGTGTTACAAGCTTTTTTCTAAAATAATTCTGTTTAAAAAGCACAAATTTCTGGAAAAAGAAACTTTAAAATACTAACATTTATCAACAATATTGGCACAGATTAGTTTATCAAGCAAACTTCCTGTAGTTTACAAACCAGTGAGGTTTCAGAGTCAGTGGAATATAGAAAAGTAAAACTTAAATTATTTTATTTGTTGTTGTTGTATGTATGTGTGTGTGTGTGTGTGTGTGTGTTTAGAGAGAGAAGAATGGAGAGAGAAAAATATCAATTGGTTGCCTCCTGCATGCTCCTCAAGTGGGCATTGAACCCGAAACCTGGGTATGTGTTCTGACCAGGAATTGAACCCGCCACCTTTTGGTGTACTGGACAATGCTCCAACCAACTGAACAACACTGGCCAGGCCTTGAAGTAAACTTTTATGCAATGTCTGTGATTAGGAGAGGTGTAGCATATAGGAAGATTGTCTAGGAGATAAAGGCATGGTGGGGGTAGAATGATAGTTTGAAGCTTCGGCCTCTTGGGGTCCTTTGGGAATCTTGTAAATCGGACAGTAATGATGGGTGAGACTAATTGTGGTCCCAAGAAGAATCGTGGGACCTTAAGGACAAATATAGCTTATAGTTTTGGCCAGCCCTTTTGTTTGTTACCTCAAACAACCATAGTCAACCTTGCCTATGACTGAGATAATTTATACCATTTTATTCAATCTGCAATTAATTCTACAGTTTGTTCATCTGTAGTTTCCCCAGTTAGTATGGTAATATAAGATCACAGGCCAATTGACTATCTTACTGGTTTCATGTTTTATGGTATTCATAGGCTTTCTTGTATTAATCTCTTCCAGAGATTCTAGGAAAGGAACTATGTCTACATTAAACATGAATCATCAGCAGTCATTTGAGTTGAGGTTCTAGCAATCAGGTTTTCATAAGCTATAATACTGCTAGGAGAAGGAAATGTGTTTACTACTTTGATTAAAGAAGCACAAAACTGTACTGTTGAAAGATGCTTAAATACTTTATAAATAATTGGGATTAATATTTAGTAATAGTGGTTTATATAGGTTAGGAAGGATGTTTTCTTTCTTTGGTCTAAATACTTCTATATTGAGAAATTGTATGGGAATTAAAAAAGCAGAGACATTGCAAAAATCAGAAGGAGAAGATTAAAACCTTATTAGCAGCATAACCTGATATTTCAGTTTCTCATGTTGACCAGTTAAAGTAATTTTAAGTAGGAATTTAAAAGTATGTTTTATTTTTAAAAAGTACGTTACTTGTTAAAGAAAAATATCCAGAACACATAAATATCTTTTTAGTTGAGAATAAAACTGATTGTTTTAGTGATAATTGCTTTCTTCCTGCTATTTCCCAAATATATATGATTATCCTGTTGAATTGAAAATGAGTAACCTCTCACTGACTTTACAAGTACCTGCTTTAGTGTATTTTGTTAAATAAGATAATTATATAGTCCTTTAATTTTCTGATATAACTAATAAAAATTATTTGAAAAATATTTACAATCCCATTTCAAACAATCATGCATTTTTTTCTCATCGAGAGTATCCCTTTATATATTTTTATTTAGTAGTAGCAAACTAAAAGGGCACTTCTATTAGAGAATTATGATTATACCTCATTTTTGCCTAGTAATTTAAAAATTCACTCTTCATAGACCTTATCTTCAGTTTATCTCAATTATAATTAGTTTTTTCCTTGGTGTAGGTAGTGGTAAGGTTAGTGGGAAATTATTTCAGATACTCAGTGCAAATTTATTTTGGGCAAAGGCCTTGATTTCTTTTTTCATAATTTTAAGATTTTTTTAAGTTAATAACTTTCCTATTTTTGTCAACATTTCATTGGTTCTTTTCTTACTGACATATTAATGTGTTCTGAGAGTTTCAGATTTTTACTGGCCTAAGAGAGTAAGTTTAGTATAAAATTAATTTTCTTTAAATAGAAATTTTTATCAAAGAGCATAAATAAGTAGTTATTTCTTTCTTGTGCTATTCTGGTGAGAACTACTTAAATAACAAGCACTCTTAGGAAAACTGCTGAAATTAAGTTCACTTTTTTTGATTTTCAACTTGTCTTTGTTAATGTATCCAATAAGTACATTGTAACTTGTATGTATACAGTTTACCCCAGTAAGTTAAAGTATATATGTTGGAATATATATATTTTATATACATATAAAAAGGATGGTAACAAGATGAAAAATGGCAGAGTGACAAGTTTCTTAGGTGCATATTGAGAGGAAAAAAGTTTCTCATGAGTATTTTGGTACTCAGTCCTTATAAAATCATAACTATATTTTTTCTAAAATAACACAGCATGTTATAAA